GCGGTTTTGCGCAAGAAAGCCCCGATCGCCATTTTTGCCATCGGGGCTTTTTTGCGCAAAACAGTTTTTAGCTGTCTACACTGGCCCTCTCGCGCAAAAACATTTCCGGAAAAGGGCTTTTGCCCGAACGGGAACGTCAAAGCATTTGCGCAAGAAGCACTGATTTCGGACAGCAGAACATCAGTGCTTTTGTGCAAAATCAAGCGGCCAGTGTAGACAGCTGGCAAGTTTTTGCACAAAAGCAGCCGCTTTTGCGGAAAAACTTGCCAGTCTAGATGCAGCCTTTATGTATATGTTTTCTGGTAAAGGGTTTTCCTTTCCCTTATCTTTTGCAAAAACATCTGTCAAAAGAGTTCCTAGGCAATGACTAGGGACTAGTCTGGAATCATAGCATTCACTCACTATCTACATCAATAGAATGGGGAACATCTGAGGAGCACAGAAGAGAAGAATGTGCAGCAAGTATAGCCTTTCTTTTCCTGCAGGAGAACATTTTTAAAATTTAACTTGCAGCCTCATAACTAGAAAGATCTAGATAGCCATATGCTTTCCCCTGTACCAATTTTGATGTCAACGAGTCACTGGTGGCTGTGACAATGAGCATACACATGTCTGCTCACACTTGGTGTTCACTAAGAACGGTATGGACAGTAATACGCTGCATGATTGATTAACACAGGATTTTCAAATAGTTATGGTTTTATTTCTCAACTGCATTTCTTCAAACAAAGCAAAGCTCACATTCCTCACTGAGTAAGCTGTGCACACCACATCCAAGGTTGATTGTTGGCTGCTTTGTGACCCAACAATAAAACCTTTCTTCTCCATAAACAATAGCCTGTTTTGAGATTCTTGGCCAAATTCTTCGCTTAGTTATACATCTGAATCCATAGTTAACCTACTGACTTCAATGAACCTACTCTGGAACTTCACTGAACCTTCCCCAATGCCGTATGCACCACCTCAGTCCTAAAGAACGAGCATGAAGAACAGAGAGTAAAACAGTATCAATCTCAAACTAGGAGAAGCAGGGCAGGGATTGTGTCAGATAAGTTAGCATCAGGAGGACAGAAGCATATTACACCAAAACCATCTTTATTTTATTATTCGGGGGGGCAGAATCATTAGTAACATTCAGTGATTCTCCCCCCTACACCTTTTTTTCCCACCGCCTCAGCACAAAATGACTTCTATTACTGTAATTTCTCTTTGGAAACTGTGCCTGTAGTGTCTATGCTCCCAGAATGCTGTAGCTCTCCTTTAACCCCGGAATTTGCTCTCCATTTGACAGCAAATCGAAAATCTCATATTTTATGTTTGTCACTGAAAAATGCAAAACTCTAGATATTCATCTTCAGGTCTTTAGTTTGGCCAGTCAATAAAAATGATGCCAGGATGAGTTCTCAAAGACTATAATCTTGTAGTAGCAGTAAGGGGTTCTAACTCCAGAATTACCAGTTTAAAAACATAAAGAACATTTCTTCTCACAAATAGGTAATTCTACATGGTCTTTAAATGTCTTCAATTTTGTGTATTAGATGATACAGGTTGTACCTCCCTTAACTGGGACACTCTGGCCCAGCAACATCCGTGGTCCATGCTGGACCATGGATGTTCTTGGACCACAGAGTCCAGGAAGAGGGAGGTCTGGCGTTGGGGCAGAGGCACCGTAAGAGGCACTGGTGTCTCAGCCGAGAGCCCGGAGTATGTGTGTTGGGGGCAGAGTGAGGGTGTATGGCTGTCATGGTGGGGAGTTCTGGCCCCAGCAGCCACGGAGCTCTAGCCTGGCTGTGACCGTGGACCTCTGGCCCCAGCCTAGGAACTCTGACCCCGTCCCCGGCCATGGAGCTCTGGCCACATTCTGGCTCCAGTGGCCGGGGAACTCCAGCCCCAGTGGCAGCCAGGAAGCTCTGGCCCAGGCCACAGAGTTCTGTCCCCGTCCCTCCGCCCCGGCTGCAGTGCTCCGGCCCCAGCCATGGAGCCAGGTGGCTGCAGAGCTCCGGCTGTGGCGCTACGGCCCCAGCAATAGTAGGGCTGGAGCTGAGGCCGGAGCCCCAGCCCGGTGGCAGCATAGCCACAAGAGGAGAGACCTTCCCTAGTCCAGCAAATCCCTTCGTTTGGGAACAGTCAGATCCTGAGGGTGCCGGACCAGCGAGGTCCAACCTGTATTGGAAATAAAAGAAAAGATCCCAAAAGCACACTTTGGCACTCCAGCCCCACCACTGCCCCAGCACAGGGCTGGAGCACACAAAATCTACCCGGCTGGGCCCTCCTAGGCTCTGGTGTGTGCTGGGAATAGGGGAAGTGTCTTTCTCCTTCTCAGTTGGGGCCACGTCAGTGTGGATTGGTTTGTCTGGGTTTTTTTGCTTTTCACTTGTGTGCGGCCCGGATTGGTTTGTCTGGGTTGTTTTGCTTTTCACTTGTGTGCGGCCCCTGACTGATTTTCCAGTGGGTCAAAAAGGGTTCCCCGCCCTGGTTTATAGACTGAGAAATAACTGCAAATCTTTTATAACAAATTGAAATCCTCAACTATTAACGCAAGGAGAACGGAAACTATTGCTTTCGTGGCACACCCTGGACCTGCTCTCAATTACGCTAGGACCCCTTTGCACCACCTGGCAGCAAGGGGACTCAATGTAAATGAGCCTCAGGCCCTTGATATTTGTGAAACTGAAGTCCTGCTAAATGAGGCAGGAATCTCTAGGCTACTCTGTGTGTACATATTGCATTACAGAAAAGCAAACTGCAACAGATTCAAAAAGAGACTTCTCTTTTCCTTCCTAGAAAGATATTTTGATTCACTGATTGTTTGGCTTGAGTATCAGTGCCAAAGGCACAGTGCCTCCTTTCCTTGCTAGCTCAGTCAGCAATGAAGCAAGGGGCTTCACAACAAAACAGGGATGAAAGCCTGGGGCTGGAGTATCCTCAAATCCCACTCCCAGATCTAAGGAAGATGGTGTCATTTGGCTAAACCTGTCAAGCTGTTGTAAGAGCTTCCTGAATGCTTCCTACCATCTGCTTTTGATGCTTTCAAGACTTGGACAGAAGCCTGGCGGCTTTCCTGCTTTTTCCTGACCAACCTATAAAGGAATAGTTCTGGATCTGTTCCCTGTCATCCCAACCTCTTTCCTCAGTTTCTTCTGCCTCCAGCTGTTTTTTTTTTTAACTGCTGTGGCCTTGTGCCCTGAATTATTTCTCTTGGGGAAGTTAGCATTCCTCTGATGTCGAACAAGTGCTGGATCTTTCAACTGTGTTTGTGTTCTTAGCGGAAGGGTATGGCCTACATGATACATTCCTCCTTCACACCCATGTTGACAAATTTAACTTTACGCTAGGGTTGGATTCTCAAAGGAATGTTCATAGAAAAGGGATCAGCACATTCGACTGATAATCATTTTGTTAGACTGCATTCTGTGATGTGATGTTAGTGAATATTGATTGATACAATCTGTAGGCTATAGAAATAAATGTAGCTGAGGACAATGAGTTCAAAGCATACATTAAAAAACAATAAATTGAATTCCTAGGCGTTCCCGCATGTACTAATCTATGCAGGTTCCTGTGTTTTTGGAAAGCATTTTGCTTATCTTACTCATCAGTAGGCCCACTCTCGTATTTTGGATCAGTGCCATTTGTAATCATCTAAATCAGTATTTATTGAGGATTTATGAAACAGGCTAAGTACTATAGGGTATATTTTGTAGCAGATGATCTTTCCAGTTCATTTATTCTCCCCTCTTCCCTCCTCTCCTCCCCTAATGCTATATCCCAGGGTGGGGCAACCTAGGCTAGTGAGTGGACCGCATGAGTGGCCCTGCTTCATTTCGTTGAGCCGCAAGATTGTCATAGCCAAGACAGTCTCCGAAGATTTAGGGATGTTAAAATATTCTGGTAATCATGTAACCGGTTAGACGTTTACAAGCCTGGGGCGGGGGGGGAAGGTTGTACACAGGGAGCTAACTTTTAAGCCAACTCCCCATGTGTACCAGCTCCTGCAGAGCCACCTGTCCACCCCCACGCTGCTGCCTCTGATACAGAGGCAACAGCGTGGGGGGTGGGCCTATGTGTAACTGTAAAGGTTAACCAATGAGTTAACGGATACATTGGTTAACCGTTTACACGTATACACTATCACATCTCTACCCAGGCTAGTGTAGTTTTGCTAACTGTGCTTGCATACTTAGAATTTGCGGGATGTGCCAACTGAACCGTAGCAGCGCTCTGATTGGATGCAGAGGGAGCACACAGCTCTCACAGTTACTGTTGCGTGTAATCAGCCCACACCTCACTTCATGTGCCCTTGCTTTATGTGCATGTCACTTCTGTAATACCGATAGAAAAATACTCCACAGATGAAAATCAGTGGAATGTGGCAACGCTGTGCATGGCAATGATAAACAAATATTCTCATGGGCCACAGATAGAACCCCAATGGGTCACATGCTGCCCACCACTGTTATATCCAGATTTCTGAACGCTCTGAGGACTTGATCCTGCAAGGTTGTGAGCACTGACACAATCCAGCAAGGTACTTAAATATGTCCTTAATTTGAAGCAAATGAGCAGTCTCCCTGCAATCAAAGGGACTATTCTGATGCTTACAATTAAGCACATATTTAATGGATCAGAGCAGAGAGCTTGACAACTTGCAGGAATGAGCCCTTTGAAAAGATAGATCTGTATCTTGAAAATGTTGTCTTGATGGGTATCATAATGCAGAACAAGTCTTCCTTGGTTTAAATGGGAATCAAATGCATTTATTCATAGGTACCTGTGAAAATATCACATATAATTTTGAAACCCATGTGCAGGATGGGTTATACAACTTTCCTGGGAATTAACTAGCTGATATAAGCAATCCATGTTGTTTGAAATATTTTAGCTCAGTAGCTGCAGAACCTGAATATAGTTTTTTAAATTTCAATTATAATCATACATAATGGAACTTAAGTGAAACAAAGTCAACTTACACTGTACATCAAGATGAGTGAAACACGTACCTGCATTCCTCAAAAACCTGAGTTTGTAATCAACAACAACTCTGGTTTTGGGATTATAGAATCCATCACCACAGTCATAACAGCTTTCTGGAATTCTTCGGGGAGGATCTAAGTTTGTAAGCTGAGATATACCTGAAAAGACACAGTATAATTTATTACAAAAACAAAAATCCCATTTTTTTATAACTGCACTCTTTTATCAGAATAAATAATGACAATAAGTGTATATCACTGTACATCTTTATAGCACTTTCCCTCATAAGATCTCAAAACATTTAATAAATTTTACTAAGTTTAGCAGGTAATTACTTTGACCATTTTGTAGATGAGAAATTGAAGCACAGAGTGGCACACCAAGAAAACGTTCAGCATAGAAAGGAAGACAGCTTGATTCCCCTTACTCAGGGTATGTCTAGACTGCAGAGTTTTTCCGGGAGAAAAGCTCTGCTGTGTCCAAGGAATGTGTCTGTTTTTCGGAAAAAAAAAAAAAAAATTCGGAAAAGCAGACGTGGTTTTTTGGCATCCCTGTAATTAAACCTCGTTCTACGAGGAAGAACGGATGTTCCAAAAGAGGCTTTTTTCCTGACATTTGGCCCAGTGCAGACAGGCCAATTGTTGGAAAAGCCTCTTTCGGAAGAAAAGCAGAAAAAGATATGCAAATTGCAGTTCGTAATTTGCGTATCTTTTTCCGATAGAACTTTGTAGTCTAGACACAGTCTCAGCATCCTGTGATGTAGCCCATAAGACTAATACTATAAACAAGCACTGAAAACCCCAAAATGAGTACAAAAAAGTCTAGCCATGGCTTAAAGAGATGTCATTATTCAAATGTGGTATAGTACAAATAAGACTACTGCTCATTATGACAATACATTATTCAGTGATTATCATATAACTTTTTCCCTTTTAGTCATAAATGAAGTAGTAAATGTGTCTAAAAGACCATTTTTACAGGCTGGACATAAAATAAGTACATATTTTCATACCCACTGAAAATTTGTCATTTTCAAGCTACACATTTCATATACCAGGCTTTTTGTGAACTTCTGTTACTTTTTCAGGTGCTTTAGAACACTATGCAAAATTATGAGTGCAGGGTAATATCTTGGTTTTGTCCCGCCTTTCTTTAATAAAATATATCCAGAATGCAGTGAATGTTAAATCCATAAAAGACTTAATCAGATGTCAGCAATTGCTAGGTAACAACGTCCTGCCCTCATGACAAGATCACTCAGGAAGAAACTATCCACCACATTTGTCAGTGTTGTGTGGATGGATTTCTGAAACAAACCAGAATGTTCCTGCTCATGTTACTCATGTAGTTTAATTAATCTCTCTTAATAATCATAGTTGTTGGTTTAAAACTTTCCAGAGTCTTATTATCACAGACGTAACACAGTACCTGCTGGTTTTAGCCCAGAACAGATTTCTGTATAAAATCTTCTGTCGTAGCCATCACAATAATGCCACTTTTTATCTTTGAATTCAAGACCATCTGCAAAGGTATATTTCCCCTGCAAAACAAATTCAAGTGCACAACTAATGAGTATTATGAATGGAGTGAAGGATAACCATTTGTATATCCATTGCCAAAGATGCACGTTACCCAAGAATAAATAAGACATATTTTTGCTCCATATTTAAGTGCAGATGGAAATGATACCTGCAGATCCATAAGCACCACATTCAGGGCTGGCCTTACCATGAGGAGAACTGAGGCAGTCGCCTTAGGTGCCAGACTATTGGGGTGGGGGTGCCACTAGGACCCAGAGAATTGAGACCTTTCAAAGTTTTGGCCCAAGCAAGGGGGAATTTGAGCTCCCCGCCTCAGGTTTCAAAATGTTGTGGGCCGGCCCTGACCACATTCCATAACCGAATCATTTCCCTGTTCAGTGTGAAATTACTGTTGTCCTTGCAATAGGGGAAACTAACACTGAGAGTAAAAAAGCCACTAAAGCTTTCCCCCCTAAACTTTAAAGCGTACTGGCAGTAACATTTGGGAGCAAAAGGGTTTTATCTTTCTTTTGAGTACAGAGCAAGAATCAGCCTTTAGATATGATGGACATACCCCACCCAATCAGTTTCCTATGAAACTGATGGCATAGCCTCCTCATGTTTTATTCCTGTTTCTAAGCCTTCCCCATCACATTAAAAGGACTAGTAGTAATACAATACCTCTTTCAATATTCCACAGTCCCAGATTCCTTCATATTTGCTTCCATTAGGAAAATACAAGATTCCTTTGCCATGAAACATTCCATCTTTCATTGTGCCCTTATATTTGGTCTCAGTTGGGAGAGTATAGCAGCCTTTTCCTTCAATCCTATGAATGATAATCAGGAATTGTTTAAGAACACTTAACTAAATGTCCAAAAAGGCAAAACTCCACAAGGGAGGAAGAAGACCTTGTTGATTAAAAATGGACCTGGTTTACAGAGAAAGTGAAGGGAGCTATACAAATAATTTAAATAATTTACAAATGGAAGAAAAGGGAGGTTGATAGTAATTAGTATGAATCGGAAGTTATACATTATAGAACATTGATGACAATCTTTAAGCACCTTTAGAAAGGGAGGATAATAATGATTGTTATTTAGAAAAACTTAAAAAACAACAGTCTTGCAGCACCTTAGAGACTAACAAAACATGTAGATGGTATCATGGGATTTTGTGGGCACAACCCACTTCTTCAGATGAATGAAGTTATTAAAGGTCCAGTTTCTAAATAGATAGGGAATGAAGGCAGGGGAGGAAAAAGAAGGAAAAGAAAGAAAAAAAGGGGAAAGAAATAGTCAATCAGTGTCCATGTTACATGAAGCTGATAGAGAAGGCAGCTTTCATCCAACAATGCCCAAATGCATATCAAACCAGATCTACAAACAAGGTTCAATGTACCTATCATTTAACCAAAGTCATTACTGGGGTATAACAGCGCACAGCAACAGCACCCAAAAATTTAGGACGGGATGTGAAAATGTTTGCAATAGGAGCTACAAGTGCAAGGAAGATAAAACTGCAAGGAAGATACAAATGCAAGGAAGATAAAACTGAATCAGCTTTTAAAAATTTGGCCAGGAAAATAGGGCAAAAATCTCTAGGGTTTGGGGTTTTTTTTTAAAGAAAACCAATCCTCCCATAGGATCCTTAAGATGCTGGAAACAACAAATAATCCTGTGGCCCCTGAGAGATTCACAAAAACGTGGGTTTACATCTCTTCCAAACATGACGACGATAGCAGCGAAGCACCCTCTATCAGCAGGATGTGACCTTGGAAGGAAGCATGCAGCCTACTGAATCACCAACATAATTTCCTGTAGCATTTGTGCGCTATTTACAATTATTAATGGGACATTTTCTAGACTCTTGTCAAGGCAGTGTGGATGAGTGATGAATAACATAAGGCCGGTTTATCCTCACATCCCCCAGCAGCATGGTATCTTTTGCCCCATTTTACAAACAGCGACGCAGAGACGTTCAGGCCCGAAATGAGGCTCCCAAAGACGTGGACGGGTGCGCGGAGGGCTCTCCAAAAGCGCGGCGATGCCCTAACAGCCACTGATTTCGACAGGAGTCGGGACACTTGTGCGCGTCTCTAGGAGCCGAAACACCTTGAGAAATGTGGCCCCACTTGGCCAAGGCCACTGGCGGCTGTTTCGGGGGCGATCTCCGCCAGGCCTCGCTCCCCATCCCGCGTGGAGGCCCCCAGGCCCCCCTCGCCTTGCAAGGGGCCGGTGGCACACGTGGGCGTGCAAGGGTGGTGCATCTCGTGTCACACCACGGCGACGTCGGTGCCCAGAGATTTCCACGGCCACGATTGCGGGTGTTGACACTGGGGGCTTTTTTTTCACACACGTGCCAGGGCCCCGCACCGTGGGGTGACGCCCCTCCCAGATGCCACTTTATCCTGTGCCTACGAAGTAATCGGGAAGCATGATTATATTCATGAAAACAGGATCGCAGCCAGCATTTCAGCCTGTTACATGTCTTGAGAACATTTTTTAATATGTAACCTTTCATTTTTACATGCTCGCTGATTGTGTCAAGTCTTTGATAATAAACTTATTGTTTTCACTATTAATATAACACAGTGTTTCAATATTTAGCAAGGCCCTGATCTTGACTTATACAAGCTGGTGTGTACACTGTTCCCTGGGGGACACCAAGCCTGCTATTTTTGTGAATAATCTGTGCATAAGGGGCTGAACGCTACCAGGGAATGCTTTGGAGAGCCTCCTAGATCAGGGTGCACTTATTAACCTGTAAAGGAAAGGAAAGGCTGGATAGCCTTGGGGAGCAAACAGCCAGTTAAGCATAATCAGGTCTACCTCTCTCTGTAGGCAGGTGGATAACAAGATCATTCACCTTCCCTAGTATCCTGAGAACTGTCACTGCATCTGTCATGATCTTTGAAATGTTTCATTCCAAATATGGACACTTTTTTTTTAAGTAATTGGCTTTGGCAATCATTTTGTTTCCCCCCTGGATTTCCTTTTTGCTGAGACTGGGATTCCCTTGTCTGGTCAACCTGTAAGTGACAGCATCATTTGATTGGCCAGATCCTCAGCCAGGGCACGTCTACACTAATAACTCCTGAAATAACTATTTTGAAATAAGCTTATTCCCCCAGGGAAATCAGGAGTACAGATTTTGAAATAACCCAGCCTGTTATTTTGAAAAAAATGGGCTTAGAAGTGTGGACGCTCTGCGTATTATTTGGAAATAAGGGGAATTATTGCAAAATAGCTCCCTACTGTAGACCTGGGCCCAGTGTCAACTGACAAGTCCATGGAGTAACTGGCCCAGTACTTGCAAATGTGCTAAGGAAAACTGCAACAGATATTTAAGTTAATTTATGTTTAGCTCTAAGTCCCATCTCCACAAGCTTCTATTCATGCAAGTAGTGATTTCAGGGGGATGACCTGTGTAAGATCAAGCCATATGTCTATATCTGAAAGTGTTATTGGGATAAAAGACCTTCTTCCTACCCACCAAAGCTCCAGCCCAGGGTCCCCTGCCTCCCTCCCCGTCTCTGGCCCTGGTTGTCCCTGGGCTGGGAAGCTCATCCTAGAGCCCAGGTGTCCAGCACGCTAGCCACATGTGGCTCTGTGGCCCGTTGAATGTGGCCGGTTCACTTGAGAAGTGGTTGGACACCTCGGTCCTAGAGAGTCTGCAGGTGCAACGGAGCCGACCCTGAGCGCTGAGGGGCAGGACAGGGCTGTCCCCAGGCCCCACCTGCCAGGTGCTTAGAGCTGGGAGGGCCCTACCACGAGCTTGTGTGTTCTCCCTCCTGCTAACGCTTCCTCCCCCGCCTCTTCAGGTGAGCGTCAGCACTTCGGTGCTGAAAGCTGCGGCCCACCACTATGGCTCGCAGTGTGACAAGCCCAACAAGGAGTTCATGCTGTGCCGCTGGGAGGAGAAGGACCCCCGGAAATGCTTAAAGGAAGGGAAGGAAGTCAATAAATGTGCACTAGACTTTTTCAGGTAGGGATCTCAGGTGGCTTTTCAGATCCAGTTTTAGGGCTGTATCCTGCAGATCATATTTAGGCAAAACTCGCATTGAAGCCAGCAGTTTTACTTGGGTGTAGCACTATTATATATAATATAATTATATATATTATACTTCACAACTTTGACACAGTACACACTAATTTTGTTTTTTTATTAGTACTTCAAAAGAGGGTGGAAATGAAGTATGTGCTCTGTGTTGCTTCCTGTCTGCTTAAGGTACTAAGGCATATATATAGGAGGAGAGAATTTGTTTTGAAGCATCAGCTGGCATAGCATCTACCTGTGTACTGTCATTTAAACAAGCATTACAGTAGCAATTTTCTTTAGTTGTAGCTGAGATGATTATTCTATTCTTAAACTTTTGTTGAGTTGCTGACGCTGACATTTTCTGTACTAGAACTCCTGAGGGTTGGAGTCAGGCAGTGAATCCTCAGTGGAGAGTGTCAGTGGTGGAGATTACTTTTTCTGCTAGTTGGAAGGCAAAATATTTAATCTAATAATAGTTTTCAGTTTGTAAAATAGTGGTCCACACTTTTCCTTTTATATTGGCTGCTCTTATATTTGTGGCTTGGGCTCAGCCACAAAGCAAGTTGACTGTGTTTTGGAAGATGATGACCAGGAGTCTCTGGGCTTCAGGAACTTGAGATTATGTTTTAAAAATTTGAGACTTGTTATGTGAATTGCTTTTCCCCATCCTTTCTCATTTTACAGCACAATGATGCATACATTAAACAAGTACAAAACTTTCCTTGCATGATGGAAATCATGTGCATGTAAATGTTGGGAGGATCATAGTCTTAGAGACAGAGCATCTCTTTATACGTGTGATGGCATGTCGGGTACCCCCGACCCTGCATCCTGTCTGCAGCAAGATGAGACTCCACCAGCCAGTAGAACAGAGAGGGTTTATTGCTTCTCCAGGATACAGCACAGCATAGGCGCGATGTGGATATAGGAGTCAGGGCCAGGCAGCCTTATCATAGAACCATAGAACTGGAAGAGACCTCAGAAGGTCATCAAGTCCAGCCTCCTGCTCTAGGCAGAACCAATCCCAACTAAATCAACCCGGCCACGGCTTTGTCAAGCCGAGACTTAAACATCTCTATGGATGGAGACTCCGCTACTTCCCTAGGTAACCCATTCCAGTACTTAACTACCCTCCTAGTGAAATAGTTTTTCCTAATATCCAACCTGGACCTCTCCCACCACAACTTGAGACCATTGCTCCTTGTTCTGCCATCTGCCACTACTTTCTTCTTCCCCTTTGGAACCTCCCTTCAGGAAGTTGAAGGCTGCTATCAAATCCCCCCTCACTCTTCGCTTGTGCAGACTAAACAGACCCAACTCCCTCAGCTTCTCCTCATAAGTCATATGCTCCAGCCCCCTAATCATTTTGGTTGCCCTCTGCTGGACCCTCTCCAATGCTTTTTGTAGTGGGGGGCTCAGAACTGGACACAATACTCCAGATGTGGCCTCACCAGAGCCGAATAAAGGGGAATAATGACATCTCTGGATCTGCTGGCAATGCTCCTCTTAATGCAACCTAATATGCCATTAGCCTTCTTGGCTACAAGGGCACACTGTTGACTCATATCCAGCTTCTCATCCACCGTAACCCCCAGGTCCTTTTCTGCAGAACTACAATTTAACTGGTTGGTCCCCAGCTTGTAACTATGCTTGGGATTCTTCCGTCCCAAGTGCAGGACTCTGCACTTGTCCTTGTTGAACCTCATCAGATTTCTTGTGGCCCAATCCTCCAATTGTCTAAGTCACCCTGGACCCTATCTCTGCCCTAAAGCGTATCTACCTCTCTCCCTAGCTTAGTGTCATCCACAAACTTGCTGAGGATGCAATCCATCCCCTCCTTTCTATCCATCTTACCGTCCATTTATCCAATCCACATTCCCTTAACTTGCTGGCAAGAATATTGTGGGAGACCGTATCAAAAGCCTTCCTAAAGTCAAGGTATATAACATCCACTGACTTTCCCATGTCCACCGAGCCAGTTACCTCATCATAGAAGCTAATCAGATTGGTCAGGCATGACTTGCCCTTTGTGAATCCATGCTGACTATTCCTAATCAATTTCCTCTCACCCAAGTGCCTCAATATGGATTCTTTAAGGATCCCTTCCATGATTTTTCCAGGAACCGAGGTAAGACTGACCGGCCTATAGTTCCCTGGATCATCCTTCTTCCCTTTTTTGAAGATGGGCACTACATTTGCCTTTTTCCAGTCATCCGGGATTTCTCCCGATCTCCACGACTTTTCAAAGATAATAGCCAAAGGCTCCACAATGACATTTGCCAACTCCCTCAGTACCCTCGGATGCACTAAGTCCGGACCCATGGATTTATGTACGTTTAGCTTTTCTAAATAGTTCCTAACCTGTTCTTTACCCACCACGGGCTGTCCATCTTCATCCCATCTTGCGTCACTTGGTGCAGAAGTCCAGGAGCCGACCTTGTCCGTGAATACAGAGGCAAAGAAAGCATTGAGTACTTCAGCTTTCCCCACATCATCTGTCACTAGGTTACCTCCTTCATCCATTAGGGGCCGCATACCCTCTCTGATCACCTTCTTCTTGTTAACATGCCTGTAGAAACCTTTCTTGTTATCCTTCACATCCTTAGTCAGTCGCAATTCCATCTGCGCTTTCGCCTTCCTTGAGGCAGGGGGACATAGGCCCCTGAACCCCCAGTGCTCAGCTCAGTCTGTTCTCGTCTTGTTTGCCCAGCCAAGACTAAAGCCAAATCCCCAACAACTGGTCCCTGAGCCCCCAGGCAGCTCTGTCTCCTCTGTTGTCCTTCTCCCAGACCCAAGGTGAGCCTTTTGTCACCTGGACCCCAGAAGGTGAGACTGACATATTTCCACAGTCAGTCTTGCCTGGCCTCCCTCATGCAGAGAGAGCTGCAGGGGAGGGGGACGGGGGAACACCAACACCACTACATCACATATAGCAACTAGGAAGGTGAGTCCTCTTGAATGCTATTATACTATAAATATTAATAATAAACATTAAGGAGATTGTAGACTCATAGACTACTAGAACTGGAAGGTACCTCAAAAGCTGATATTATTGATATTATTTAAGCTTAATATCAATGTGGACACAAGAACAAATGGATATAAACTGGCTATCAGGAAGTTTAGATTTGAAATTAGATGAAGGTTTCTAACCTTTAGAGGAGTGAAGTTCTGGAACAGCCTTCCAAGGGAAGTAGTGGGGGCAAAAGACCTTTCTGGCTTCAAGATTAAGCTAGATGGCTTTATGAAGGGGCTGGTTTGATGGGATAGCATGATCATGGCAACTAATTGACCTTTCACTATTGGTGGTAAATAGGCCAATGGTGGGATGATAGGAGTTACTATAGAGAACTTTTTCCTGGGTGTCTGGCTGGTGAGTCTTGCCCACATGCTCAGGGTTCAGCTGATTGACATATTGGGATCAGGAAGGAATTTTCCTCCAGAGTAGATTAGCTGAGGCCCTGGAGGTTTTTTGCCTTCATCTGTAGTATGGGGCACAGATCTTGCTGGAGGATTCTCTGCATCTTGGGGTGTTTAAATCATCGTTTGAAGACTTCAATATCCGAGATATAGGTGAGAGGATTATTCCAGGAGTGGGTGGGTGAGATTCTGTGGCCTGCATTGTGCAGGGAGTCAGACTAGATGATCATAATGGTCCCTTCTGACCTTTGAGTCTATGAGATCATCAAGTCCAATCCCCTGCCCTCATGGCAGGACCAAGTACCATCTAGTTCTGCGGTTCCCAGTCTTTTCCAGATGGGGACCCATTTTGACGTTTCAGGAAGACTTGGTTACCCAAGGCAATTCAAAAACGGGAATAACAGAATTCCCATGGAGATGATCTGTTGAGAATTTAAGAAAAAAACCAATAAAGCACAAGACCATGAAAAAGTGAAAAGCAATAGCTCAACCCTAGTTGCAAGGGGAGATGGAGAAGCAGAAAGAAATAGTTGGCTAGATAAGAAATCTGTCCATTTTCTGAAAAAGCTCTTCAGGGCCCAGGTGCTTGTGATGTGACTTGCTAAGCTTAAAAAAATCAAACCAAGTTGGAAGCATTTGGGTAGCATGAACTGCATTCACATTTACATAATTAATATAAACATGTACTAAAGGAGATGTAAGAATAGGGTCTGAAAGCTGACTAAGCTTAACAATCATATTCAGGGCTCGACAAATAATACAATCTACTCGCCCGTGGCAAGTAGATTGCCCAAACCCGGCTCTTCCGGGTTACAATCTGCGCATGTGCAGATTGCAGGACAGCGCAGCTGGCGAGCAGGGCTCGCCGCAGTTCATCGAGCCCTGATCATATTAATAATTGTAGTTATTTAAAAGGTAATACAGGCCTCTCGAGATCAGTGTGAAATTATAAATTCATATGCTTGGACTGTAAGCTCTTCTTGACAGGGTGTCTTATTATTCTATGAAATGCCATGAATATGTTATTTTTTAAATCTGTTTCTTCCAAAATTACCAGACTTTAACAATTTTACGAATATCAACTGGAAAATAAGCTTTGCAAATAAACACTGAATGGCAACCATTTGGAAATTTGTTCGTGTGTGGTGGCCTGCCGTGAATGGGAAATTACTAACTTAGCTTATAAGAGTTACATTTGTAGTCTTGTCTTTTTCCAAAATAATACTTCTAGAATCCTTTGTTTCATAGGAAGATTAAGGCGCACTGTGCAGAACCGTTTACTGAATACTGGACTTGTATTGACTATACCGACCTTCAAGAGCTTCGACGTTGCCGAAAACAGCAGCTGGCATTTGATAATTGCGTGCTGGAGAACTTGGGCTGGGAGAGACCTGATCTAGGAGAGCTGTCTAAGGTAATTAGGAAATACTGCCCCATGTCGTCTTCTTTCCCACTGATTATTTCAGCACTGTTGTCTCTGACCACCTAGTCCCTGTTCTGTAGCGTGTGCAGAATGCTGCAGCTGGCCTTCTGCTTTTCGCAGAGAAACATGGTTCATCACCTTATCCAGCTAGGTCTCATATGGTCCGCTTTACTGTAGTGTCAAAGGGCATCCTCTGCTTTTCATTTATTTGAAAACCAGTTCTGAACTGTGCTCCTTAGTTTTGAAAACTCTGTGTATACTTGTTCCAGTTTGCTTCATATCTCGTCACTCCTTCAAGCATAGTATCTTAAGCTACTTTTAACTGTTTTTAAACAGACTAGATTTCAAAGTGATTGTGTGTGTGGCTTTAACACAATCTCAGCACTTTTGATAGTAGAACCTTCTTTACAACTTTAGCCCTCTGGAATAGTGCCCTCCTTATATTTCTCCATAATCTCATTTCAAATCTAGTCTGAGAAGCATCTCTCTTGCATATGTCTCATCTCTTTCCAGCTACTGTTTTTAACTAGCTGCTGTTATGTTCTGTAAAGCATTTTAGGATACTCCGTGTGAAAGTTGTGTTGCAATAATTACAGTGCAAAGTTCACAACTTCTCCACAATAACAGTGGTTTTATTTCTGGTTTGATAGGTGTAGTGGGACTAGAGTGGGTGACCCAGAAAGCCACTTCCAGTCCTAAGTAGCTATTACCTTGGGTTCATTTTTTCTTTCTCACATACTTGTGCTCCATTTTTCAGTTCAGTCTAATGGAAAAAATGTTCTAGTGTATTGCATGACACTCTTTTGGTTCTTCCTTAGCTGGATGTCCAGACTCTTTGGTCTGCTTTAACGTCCCCTCATATACATATTACTGCCCGGCTACATCTCAGATTATCTTATCTACTGCAGTGGAAGTTGCAAGTTATTGATGAACTCTTGATCTCCTGTTGAAATCTGTGGCAGACTTGTAGAGGCCCTGTTAGCACTCATTGGGGGTGGGGAATGTTATATTATTTTTGTCCTATGTGTGCTTATTTTGGGGAGAGGTTCTTTTCATGACCAGTTACTAATCATACAGGAGCGCTCAAAAGTTTTTAAAACAAAAATGCTTACAGTGGAATTCAGTAAATTTTCAATTACATGTTTGATATTTAAAAACAGGATGGCACAGAATAAATTCTTGCTATCATAAATTCGATGTGCAGGAAAAATGTCTGGCTGGTGATGGTTCTTTGTAGTGTATGCACTACTGTTCCATTGATTTGCTTATGCTGGTTCTTTTAACCTTGGACTGGAGGAAAGGAAATGTTTTGTTTGAAATGGACACATCTACTGACCATTTGATACTAATTTTGATGTAGCCAAACCTTTAAGAATTGCCTTAAAAAATACAAGTTGAGGCAGCATTGGGCATCTCTTAAGGATGTAAAAGGGTAACTGGTTACCTAGTAAGCATTGCCTTACCAGCATGCTTACCTCGTTAACTAGCACCCGGAGCAGCCCCTGCCCACACCAGGGTCAGTGCAGTGGGCCAGTTAACCAGTTAAAGTATGTATGTTTAACATTTTTAACGGGCTTCTCTCCTTAATTTTTTAGACAGTTCAGGTGCTTAACCTCAGACAGTTAAAACAGGAACTTATTGTGCATACTTGTGTGTGCTTTTACTTGATTTGCAAAGTTGCTGCTTTCAAAGGTATCAAGGTTTTGGCCCACCGTTGGCAAGACAAATTCTTAATCATGCATGCGTGCAGCTCCACTGAAGTCAAGGGGTATGCATTGGGTGTAAATGGAAGCTATGCTTCAAATTTGACGTGTGCATTCAAGGAAGTGCTTACGTAATTGAGTTTAAAAAATTGTAACCTGTGACACATACCTTGCTCTTCTAAGTGACCACATTATTGTGCTGTTTTTGCCTCATCTTGCTCTTCCTTGACCATGCTGTGGTATCACTGCTTTCTGTGTTTGTTATCCTAATCTGGAATATAGAAATCTGTAAGAGTCCTTGCCTTAATTTGCCTTACATGTCTGGCAGTTGGTCACTAAGAATCAATTGGTCTGCTAAACTTACTATAAGGTGCTCTACTAAATACAGGACTTGCAGAATCTTCAAGCAATATGTACTGAATTAATAGGCTTTTGATTAATTCTGCTAATGGATTTTTTTCTGTTGCATGACTCATTAAAGCTACTTAAATTTGTTTCTCTTCTGAACTGTTGACTTAATGTAGTTTTGTCTAAAATATACTACAAGAAAAATTTAAGTGTACTATTTTTCCTGGCAGGTCACAAAAGTGAAGACAGATCGACCTCTTCCTGAGAATGTCTATCATTCTAGACCAAGACCAGAGCCAAATCCACCCATTGAAGGAGATTTGAAGCCTGCTAAATATGGCAGCAGGGTTTTTTTCTGGAGCTGGTAAAATGGGACTGACCACTCTGTAATAAGCTCTGTCCATTGCAAATATAAATTATCTTGTCCAGCGTGTATTAGGCGAAATCCTTAATGATTAAAAAAAAATCCATAATTTATCTGGTGTAGTAGATTTTCTATATATGTCTCAGGAGCTCTAAAAGAGCGTTCCCTTTACTGTTGTATTTTAAAAGGAAAATCACTTTTTAGAATTTTATGGCCTTAAAAATAATGTCCTTTTAGCCACTTACAGAGTCAGTTCTGTCTTTAAAGTAAGCCATTCAGCAATGAGAATATACTGTTTATGCCAAGATTTGCCAAATAGCATATGTAAGAATGGTCCAGTACTTTTGATCCATTCTTCGTAATGCAAAATGAATCGAGTTGGTTCTTCACTGTATAAATTTCCAAAACTTGTATTGGTGGCTTAGATACTTTTACTGCCAATTATCTCTCTTCTCAGCATACCACCTTTCTTATGAGGTTCCAGTTCAAACATCCATTTAGATTCCCAAGGGTACTGGTTATCTGTGTGTATGGTGGTTCTAACAGGCTTCTGATGAAGATTGCTAATCTGCAGATGTAAAAACTAGTGCCTGAACATCAAATTTAGAATTTGGTACATGACATTGTTTTAAATTAGTCCATTTTCCCAAGATTGCTAGTTAGAAATTCAATATTACTTTAGAAATCAGGGTGTGTGTGTTTAAATTCACAAGTGACTGGTCATGTCTTATTTATGTTGTTTTAGCTGCTTCCATCCTTCTTTAGCTCTTACACACTCTCCAGTGAAAATGTTACATGAGAATTCTAAACAACTGAACCCTTCAAAAATTATTTCCAAGTTCATTTTTGTTCCTTTGGCTATTCAGGTTAGATGACCCATTGCTAAACTTAATAGCAAAACAATCCTTTTTTATGTAAAGATCCTGACTTCAGGGACTTCCCTGTCGCCCTACTGCGACAGCACCTGAAGCTCTCCATTTCCTTTCACAAGCTAACTTTTATTATTAAGTCTTTAATTGCTCTGTCTTGCAGCACCCAAGAGACAAGACACGTGGTAGCTGACAATGCAAACGTCAGGAAAATCAAAGCAACTTGCTATACCAAAGTCAGGAGAACTACAGTTCAGGTCACAGCCTCTTGTGTATTTTGGGCTAGATGGTCATTTTGCGATCTAGTCAATAGAACAGGTGAGGTGATGGAGCAGCCTGGGAGGGAGATTGAGGGACTGTGAAATGAAGTGACAGTCTCCTCTGGGGAGGGATTAATCTGTAGTGGGTCTGTATAGGCACTGCACAAGCTCCTTGCTGCTTTAGTATGATAGTGAGGTGAATTCAAGACTGGCCAAATGTGTGGGGAAGAATGTATTGCCTGCTTTCCCACGCCTACAGGAAGTGTTGATATAGAACTCTAGTGCAAGGAAGTAAGAGGCATCTTGCATCCCCTTACTTCCTTATGAAGGGTAGGCCATGATCTTGCCCTTATTGAGAGCTCTGGTAAAGGGTGGATTTATTCACTCCCATAAGGATTTTTTCCAGGCCTTGTGATCTGCCAGTTTTGATATCAGTATCATACTGGAAAATCAAACTGACTATAGCTTTTACAGATTGGATTCCTTTGTGTTTTCTTTATCTTCCATTTGTTTGCAGAGGGAAAAAAAGCACATTCTACAGCTACTCTGGCTGCTGGCACTTTTGGGTACGTTGTATAATGTAACTTGTATAACTGGATAAAGATTTTTTCAAATTTTTATGAGGCAGTGGTAAGTGCAAAGAGAGGGCTAGAGCAAACTAGCTGGCACCTGTGAAGCCCGCAAGTTTAAAAATGTTTGTTTCAAAATCCTGTTAAAGGGTTATGTCCTTGTCCCAGTACATGAGAGAACTGTAGGTGATTGAGATAGGGTTCTCAAGCCAGGACAATCTGTGGAACCAGAGGAACATTTTATAGATCTTCCCTTGCAGTCGGCCTTTGAGCTCTTACTACCATCTTCCTGGGTGTGTTGACTGGTACCCACGGGAAACATGGCATACATGCTTTCATCCTATTGTACACCTCACTCTATTTTTGAAGCCCTTTGGATGTGTGTCTGAGCTGTAGTGTACCTCTGTAATAATATTCCTTCTTAGATGGTCCAAGCCGTATGTTCAGAGTAGAAACTCCTAGTGGAAGATGAACTCACTTTCTGTTACGATCTAAATCAGGGGTATAGCAGATACCTAGTTGTACTCAGCCAAATAAGTGGAAATGGTGTTTGGCCAAGTAGAATTTAGAACATTAAGTGACGCAGTATTGTAAGTGCTCTTCTATTGCAGAATGTTATTACTAACCAAACCCAATAGTTATACAACCTCAAAAAAGAACCAATTAGATATTACTTATCCTTTTAGTTTGCTAATAACAAACAGGTTAAATATCTCTAGTCCAGAAACATCCGTCGTCCGGAATGATTTTAGTTAGCTGGATGTCCACTTTTCATAGGTGTGACCAAGTTTCCTGCAGTCCTATGAAGCTTTTTTTATAGCCACCAGTCCTAGCTCTATGTTCTGTGCTGTTATTTAGCTCTAATTTACCCTAAATGTCCTCTAACAGCCCAGTAATCAGTGGAAGGGTTGGTAAATGCTGCTAGGCAATATTGACTCTCTGTAGTTCAGCAAATTCTCCGATTCAGCACCAGTCCAGTCCCAAGCGTGCCCTATTAGAGAGGCTCATTGTGTATTATTGTCAGCAGATCATGTGAAACATTGCACCAAATTTGTGTGGGCATTCCATTAGTGAACTCGTAATCATAGAGAGAGAATATTTTTCCATTAAATCTTTTCAGAAAAGAATGGCTTTTAATATAACTAATGTTTGAGAGTCCAAACAAAAAGCCTTAGAGTACTGAACTCAGGAAAAGTTAAATACCTTGTTCCTAGTGCTCTAGTTTATACTGTTGGCTTGCTCTCGAGGATTAAGATCACAAGGCTGCACTCTGACATTCTGATCAACTTCTCTCACCAAAGTTTGTCGGTAGAGGCAAAAAGCAGTTTTGAAGATAGTGAGACAAGAACTTTAAATAGCTGTGGGGGTGAGTGTCTTTTCTTAGCCGGTGCAGAAGGCAAATGAAGTGACTTCATCAACAGAAATTCAGCAGAGCTTGCGGGGCTCATCGTTGGAAGAAAAGTGGCTAGGCTAGCCATGCTTTGTATTAGGGATGTGAAAGGTTAACAAGTAAGCATCCCCCTTTAATGCTCACCTTCATGGGTGGTGCTTACTGATTCCGGTTATTTGGTGGGGGGTGGAGCAGCTCCCCACCTGTCCCAGGCAAGGGCTACCTTGGCTCTGTGCAGCCCACCGTGAACAGGGGCGTGTAAGCCTGGCCGGAGCATCCCCCTGTCCGAGGCAGGCCTGATGCATCGCTGGCACTGGCTTTTCTGGCCAGGCTGGAGCAGCCCCGGCCTGCGATGGTGAGGAGAACATAAGAACATCATAAGAAATGGCCATACTGGGTCAGACCAAAGGTCCATCTATCCCAGTATCCTGGCTGCCGAGATGCGATGGTGAGGAGAACATAAGAACATCATAAGAAATGGCCATACTGGGTCAGACCAAAGGTCCATCTAGCCCAGTATCCTGGCTGCCGAGAGCAGCCAATGCCAGATGTTCAAGAGGCAGTGAACAGAACAGGTAATAATTACGTGATCCCTCCAGTCTAGAGGGGGTGCTCTAGCCTGGTCACAGCAGACGGGGGTGCCGCTTCAGCCCAGTCAGGTTGGAGTAGCCCTCCTTCCCTGTCGGCCCTCCTGTTAATTGATTAACTATAATCTTTAACCAATTCAACAGGATTTTACATCCCTATTTCGTACACCTTGGGGTGTGAGCAGTGTTCCTTAACTATTCTGCATTGAAAGAGTAGTGGGGAAAGTTAGGACAAAACTGAGCATCAGCTTTTGACCTAATATATCACTGACCAATTTGGAGCAGAATTTCAAGGCAACCCTTTTTTAAAACCAGCAATTAGCATGTTTGAACAATGTCAAGTCCATGTTTATCTCTTAAATGAAAAGACTAAAACTTGTCCATCTCCATCCTCCAGTGCTGTTGGTATTCAGGGACTGTTGTGCAAGAATTGTTAGGATAAAAATTGATGAGGTCAGATTAGGGTATAGTCAAAGAAATATAATTACAAGATGTGTTCTTCTTTAATTTAATAGTGTGATGCAAATGATCCATGCATGCCCTTTTGGTAGGCTTGTTTAATGAATTCATCTCTTTCACGGTGCAAAGGTTTTGAGCTGAAAGGAAAAACATAATAAATGGAAGTTGATTTGGTATTATGAGCTAGAACTACAGCATGACTTATGCTACGTTAGATTTGAATAATTTTAAAAACACTTTTGAATGTTTAAAATTGATTCAGATTATCACTACAAATTCTTTTTCTACACTATCTTGGGGTAGAAGAGTGACTAAACTACAGTGGAATATTTAAGATGCTTCATTTCTTTTCTGTTCTATAAAGGCACATGTATACAGCAGGGCAAAAGTAGAATTAAGATATGCAACTTCAGCTACGTCAATTGCATGGCTGAAGTCGAAATAGCTTAACTCGGCTTTTGGTGCTGTTTACACAGCAGGAAGTCGAAGGAAGAACACTCCTCCTTCAACTTCCTTTACTCTTCATGAAATGAGGGTTAGGGGAGTCAGAGTAAGAAGTCCTTCAGCTCGACATTATTCCGAAATAACACTGCTGTGGAGACATCCCCTGAAGCATTTTATAAATTCACATCACACGTTTTCAGATTTTGTTTTGGTTGGCGATGTATGCAGCTTGCTTTCTGCCTTTTAAAAGGCAAGACTCAGCAAAGGAAGACACCTATATATGCTGCAGTTTGATAAGCTACCAAGTGCTGCATGACCTCACTTAAGTGCCAGTTTACAGGAGTCTGCAGAATCGGATGGAGTTTTAGTAAGGCAGGCAGCCTTCCCTAATAGAATTCCATCGATAAAACTAAACATTACCAAGGAGCACAATTTATTTCCCATAATTAGGACACTGGGCCTTTTGAAATTTCTATCCTTCCCTTTGGAATTAGCTAGAGTAGTTTTGCCTGGCTGTGAGTTCCACTGTGGGTGT